TTCCAAGGCCAGTAGCTGACTTTTCAAAGATTGCAAGCCTGAGAGCGAAGAGCGTTAGTTTCTTTTCTGGTGCTCGAACTACCGACGCTGAAGAGAGGGATTCTGCATTACTTTCTCTAATCTCAGGACTGCTCTGGGGTTCAAAAATGGTGTTAGACCCACAGGTTTCACTAAGCTTCCGAAGCTCATTAATCTGCAAACGAACACTTCCATCATCTTCCAGGGAACGTCCGCGATCCATGTTTCAGGATCAAAATGGGCAACTTTGACGCTTAATTCTTCACGACGAAAGAGGAAAATCTCGTTGAAGAACAAGATGTTAAAAGATTGGCTTGGAGTGGAAGAGTTTCTGATGTTCAAGGTTTGAAGTTGTCTTTGTCTTGAGATGTGAAGCGAAAGAACGAAAGACAGGTGATTATAAAAGAAGAGAGGATAATGACCTTAGCAAGCACGTTTGTTTTGTGGTAATGTAGAGGAAAGAGTAACGTTAAGTCTCTTGTCTTTCTGTCGTATTTCCTGGGAAGTTTATTGCGATGAATTGCTGTCACTTGCTCCTGTTTATTGCTTAGAGGCCAAGGGTTTCGTTCTCCAAAGTCCCTTTGTCTTCTGTTAATTAGTTAAGTTTCTTGACAAAACATCCAAAAGCCATTTCATTCTTCCTTTAATCAAAAGCGAAATCACTTCTCCTATTTCTGGTTCGGTCCACCCCTTCTCTGCCTTTTGTTGATTTATGTGAACCAACCCCACAAAATAAAGGAGCATAACCAGGAAAAAGAAGCAACCAAAGCACATATGTCAACCTGGACATTGCTTGGTCTATTCCATATCCTTCGATCCGTTTATTATTTCTTGGAAGCATTGACTTTTAACTTTCACATATCCAGGAAGCTGCTGCCAGCATTTAAACTAATCTTAAAATATCCTGGTCGTGGTCTTTTGGAACCAAGTGGGGATTATTATCCAACCATGGATGCTTTATGAAAGGAAATGGTGATCTATATTCAAGAGGGTTATAATATTGGCAACATTAATTTACAAACAACAGGATTTGAACCGGGCAATGAATTACGCACCCCAACCATCATAAAAGCACTAAAATATTCCATCTTAAGGATGATTGCTTCTGTTCTTGATCTCAACCCATATTGTAATTTAGTAATAAAAACTTATTTATTGTGTAATTCTGACAATTTGGTCGGTTGTAGCTTGTGGGGATTGGTCACAGCAAGAGTTTTATTGTGTCAAGTTAAAGGTTTTAAATGGGACCCAAGGCCCTAGCCTTCTAGTCCCTTGATCTACACGAATGTATTAGTATTACTCCTCTGATCTGACATAATCTTTGCCAGAGAATTATTTAACTGAATTTCTTGTTTCAAGAGGGAATGTTTTGGGAAAATTTCACACAACTGCTTACTTGGCTTCTCTATTGAGCTGTAGACGTATCTCCCATTCATTCCATCTGTGTCAATTGCTTTTGCGTATGGCCATGGGCATGATCATCAGCAGCTTTTGTTCATTTAAAATCATAGTTCTTTCAAGTCTCGTAACTTTGCTTCTTGGTGCTCAAATCGGTTTAGCATAAAACCAAAATGGCAAGTTGCAATAGCCTGTCATTTCTGAACCCCAACATGGGCCATTGAGGGCATTTCTTGGTATTGTATGGAACTTTGGCCCAGAATGAAACCAAGTAACCATTACAATTGTCGCTGAAAAAAATTGTCATCAGAACCGATTATGAAAATGAAAAGTTGAGCATGAACATCTGTTCGGTAGTCTCTTGGACTAGCTTCAGTTAAACAACCATTCAATTGAGAAAAAATTGGGAAGAGCGACTTACTACCAGTCCAGGATCCTCTAAACAGATTGAGACAAACAGAGAGGATGATAGGATCACAGTAAGATATTACTGGAATATACTAGACTGTAAAGAATCTAAATTGGTTACATTGAAAAGATATGAGGACGATCAACATGATGTTTAACCAAACGGCTAATATTAACAATTCAGTATACCCGAATGCAGCCACCTGATAACCAGAAGCAGTCTACAGAAACATCGACAAACGTGGCTCCATAATCCTCAACTGTAGAATCCAGAGAGTTGAGATTAAAATGAAAAGTCATTAAGATAGTTTGATATTTTGTTGATTTGAATTACTTAACATCAACCATCTACACCATTCGATCTTTCAAAAATGTTCAGTCTTTAGAATACATGATTATGCTGATGAAATTTATTGAGTTGAGGAATGATATTGAGAAATAGCCATAGCAGATTCAAACAACGGTCAATGCATACAACAATCAACTTCTTTTTCCTTTTAAAATAAACTTTAAGTCAGCAAGGGCACATTCAGTGACTGTGGAGAAATAATTCGATCATGTAATTGAATGCCAGAGGAGAGCAAAAGGAAAAATAATTGATAATTACTAGGCAGCAATTCAACTCCACTAATAAATTCACCCCATAAAGCCAACTCTTCATGGTAAATCACCTTCTAACAACAACTCGAGTTTGAACTTTTCTTTTTTTTATCAATGCGCTTCAAAGATTTTTCTTAATCCAGAAGAGGACAGCCATATATAACTCCAACACATTTGAAGTAAGGTGTTTAATTTTATACGATGACAGAGGTAAAGTTCTGTTCCCACTTGAGCAACAGCGTCAAGAACCTGCCAATACCAATATTATAAGCAGCTTTGCTTATCCAACATAATATTCACCGACCTTTATTATCTAAATTATACATGTGATCATTGCAAATGCATATTGCTTAACATTTCCAAAGGTTAACCCTACCTCAGAAAGAGCACCGCTTTGGAACTATTCCATTCAAAAATCCAAAAAAGGAGAAAAGACCGGGAAGTTAAAAACCATAACAGAGCAAGTATCATTCTGTCAATTAACATACAACATAAACGTGTGAAAAGTTCTGCTTAAGACTTAAAAGCCCAGATAAAACATGTTAGTAAATACAAATACTGCACTCCTTTCCCCTAAAAAACTTTAAATGGAACTAAGATAACCAGGCTTCAAAGGGTACTCACAATCAATTTTAGAAAATGTCCTACATAACATCATCCAGATATAAAATAAACCAAATTATCAGTTGCACTCCATGGCAATGCTATTAAAATTAGGGCATTCATCATATAAAAACAAGTATATACAAAAAAGAGACTCCTAAATACCCCTAGAGTCTAGCCTAAAATGCAAATCTTTGCAATATAATAAGCTCGCAACTCAAGACCTGCTTCAAATGCATTAATTTCTTGCCCCCCAACTGTTTCTATTTGGGCATACATTCAAAAACAGTAATAATCCCTAATATGATGTCATCACGTAACAATTAACAACTCTTTTTATTCAAAATCAACAATTCCCAATAATACAAAATTCAAAAAGAAACCAAAAACTACCTGAAAAAACCAACCTGAAGATACCTCCGCAACAAAAGTGTCAAATGAACGGACTCCTCTGGCAAACCTTAGCCCTCTCAGCATCAATGATAGACCCCACCAAATTCACAGCCTCCTCAAGCTTGCCTTGAGCATTCACAACAACATAATCAAATCTATTAACATACTTCACCTCTTCTCTGGCAGTAGCAATCCTCACCAGCAATTCCTCCTTACTCTCAGTCTTCCTGTCAATAAGCCTCTCCACAAGAGCCAACTCACTCTCAGCCACCAAAAATATAAACACCCCAGAATCCCCAAGAATCTTCCTCAATGTTTCGGCCCCTTGAATATCCACCCTCAACACAATATCACACCCTTTTGCCATAAACTCCCTTATCTGCTTCTTGGGTATTCCTTATAATCACCATAAACTAAAGCATACTCCAAAAGCTCATCTTTTTTCAACCATCGACAAAAACTCTTCCTTTGACACAAAATAATAATCTTTGCCATTAACTTCACCAGGCCTCATTCCTCTACTTGTAGCAGTAACAACAAAATGAAGATTTTCTCTAACTTCTCTCAGTCTTTTGATGACTGCATCTTTGCCTACCCCACTTGGACCACTTATAACAATGATTAAAGGATTTGGGGTTGGGCAAATTGAGTCAGAGCTAAAAGAAGAGCCTAAAGAGAACTCCAGAGCACGAAGTAACTCTGGTTTTGAGGCTTTGTCAGTGGAAGGAATGGAATGGAACTTTGGGGTGTTAGCCATTCTGATGGTTGAAGTGAAAAAGAGTCCTTTGGGAAGAGTCTGGGGAGTTGAAAAGGTTGGTTTTTTGGGGAGGGGAAGAAGGGAAAAGGATTTGGGGTGAAAGAGAGATGTACAGAGTCTACGAAACATGAGGGATTGTTTTTGTTTAGTCGAGATCCGGGGAGGTAGAGATGAGAAAGGAGGTTTTTTACCTCGCTTGTTGTTGGGTATTTTGGGTTTGGACTAGTTTGGGCATTTCAACTTTCAAGGTTTGGTTTGAGTTGAGTTCTGAGTATTTCTAGGTCCGAGACTATGCTTGGTTTCAGGCACAGGGCTGTTGGATTTGGGGCAAAATGACCAATACTTTAAAACTTACATATGATCATTTCCCAAATTTACCTTCTACCATTATAAGGCTATAAAGTAACTTCCTTTTTATTGTTTCTTTGTAATGGTTTTGTTAGAATTTTAACTCTAAAGTGGTTGATACTTGATGCAGATAACATGATGTTAGTTACACTTTCTCTTTGAATTCGACCTCTCTCTTTGGTCCTATCAAACAAAACCCATGCCGTTGATCAACTGGACTTTATTTGGAAAACATGGAAAAAAATCATGATAAAAACGTGCCACTTGTAATATGTTAAAAAACCTGTGAAAAAGTTTTAGTTTTTGTTAGGCACAAACCAATAAGTATTATGGGAATCAAGTATGCACCACCCAACTAGAAATAAGAATTAGCACTTGCATTCATTTTTATTTGTTTAGGAATTGGCGTTTGGCGATTGGGAAGTTGGGATGTGGACCTTGTGCCTTGTGGTGAAGCCCTCCTTTTGCGGCAAAACAGCCAAAACCAAACCTATTAAGTTATCTTTTTTGGCTTTGGGAAAGTCAGAAACTTCAAGGTTATTTCCATTACATAAAAACTTCTAAAAGTACCATTTAATTGCATTCAACTTTAAAACAAGAGTCACTGTGGTTTCAACTTTCAACATTGCCGTCAGGCTTAATCAAAATCAAAAGCAGCCTTCGCCCCCTCTCCCAACTCCCTCTCAAATTCCCAAGGTGTAAATTTTGTTGTCCTCGTCCCCCAAAATCCCCTCCCAAATTTTCGATTTCATCCATCGCCGACCGTCATATCTTCCTCTCGATAAAACTTCCCTAATTCTCTACCCATTAGGGTTCTTAATTGTTGATCCAAATAAACCACAATTCGATCAATAAAACCCTGATTCACTTCCCACCCTTTTCAATTCCAATCAAATAAGAAAACCCCAGTGTTTCAGATTTCGAAAAAAGCTCACCTTTAAAAATCTCACATACTCTTCCCAAAACCAGTCCCAATTTCAATTCAATTAACGCAAAGGAATTTTAAAAATTCGCCAATTACCCTTTTCATCTTCAACCAAAATAGCAATAATTAGATAATCAAAATCCAAAATTTATCCTTCCACAGTTGATGGGCACAATTAGCTTTTACAGAGAACTCCCAAAACCCTCAACTTCTTCTTTACCTTCGTCTTCTTCTTCTTCTTCTACCTCCTCGACGTCTCTAACCGAGACGGTCAATGGGTCCCATCAGTTCAAGATCAGCGGCTACTCCCTTGCCAAAGGCATGGGAGTTGGCAAATACATAGCTTCAGAAACTTTTATGGTTGGTGGCTACGAATGGGCCATTTATTTCTACCCAGATGGCAAGAGTGCTGAGGATAATGCATCTTACGTTTCGCTTTTTATTGCGCTGGCAAGTGAAGGAACGGATGTAAGGGCGCTTTTTGAGTTGACCCTTTTGGACCAGAGTGGGAAAGGTCGTCACAAAGTGCATAGCCATTTTGGGAGGACGCTTGAGAGCGGGCCTTATACGCTTAAATATCGTGGGAGCATGTGGTGAGTTTTGATGTTTCTTTGCTTTGTGAAAGAACTTTTATTGTTTATATTTTTGTGTTAAAAGATTAATGATGATTGGTGTTGAAAGCTTGAAATGAAGTTAAGTTGCTTGCAGGCTTCCTTGCTTAGGTTCTAGACAGCAAGATATGGAAATTCACATTGAATTTTTATGGTTTGCTTCTCCTATAGGAATGATAATCAAAATAAAATTATGTACACTTCAGTCTTTATATTTCGCAGAAAGTAAATGTGCGTTTGGACAGAAAAGCAAATACTAATATTTCTGAAGAATTAAAAACGCATGAGGTTTTTACCCCCTTTTTTTTTTACCTCCTTATGCAGTTTTATCTTCTAAGATTTCCCGCTATCTTCTTTCCTTAATAGTTGAATCTTGTAAAGGTAGCTTTTGAAATACAGCTCTGCAGGTTAAATTTCATTGATGTTCCAAGCACATTGGCATTGGCAAGAACCTATGGTTTTTTGGTGTTAACCAAATGTTTGTTAGTGCATTGACCTGTTAATGGTCTGATTTCATTTATGCAGTGTTGGAAATATATGGAGATCCTTTGCACAACCAATTAAAAGATTATAAGCAAACTGTCTTCTTCTATTGTTTTATCATGGTCTATGCTTAGTAACTTAGTAGTTGGTTTAGATTCATTATTCTTCAGTATCATTTTGTTTGGAAACATCATTAAATGGCTGCCATTGTTCTGCGTTGCAGGGGTTATAAACGCTTTTTCAAAAGAACTCTTCTAGAGACGTCAGACTACCTTAGAGATGATTGCCTCTCAATTTGCTGTTGTGTTGGTGTAGTTAAGTCATATACGGAGGGACCTAAAATATTTTCCATTGTGATGCCACCATCTAATCTTGGTCAGCAGTTTGGGAGGCTATTAGAAAGTGGTAAGGGAGCTGATGTCAAATTTGAAGTTGACGGTGAAATATTTGATGCCCACAAGTTGGTTCTGGCTGCTCGTTCACCTGTATTCAGGGCACAACTATTTGGTCCATTGAAGGATCGTAACACGCAGTGTATTAGAGTAGAAGATATGGAAGCCCCTATTTTTAAGGTTCTCCCTCTCTTTTGACCTAATCTTGTTTCCATTTTTCTTTTCCCCCCCTTTTTCTGGCTTTTATGCTTAGCTCATAATATTGCTCAAAACTAGACCAAGTTTTCAACAATAATAGATGCTTATATAGGTGTTGGAGCTTTTCAATTAGCTCGGTTCCTTGGGATAAGTTGTTTCTGTACATTTGCCCGCCCTTTTGTTTTTTTATTTAGACTGAAGGTGTTGCATAGGTTACTTTTCTCTTTCCCTAGCTCTTTTGATAGCTCTGCAGTAGTCCATTACTATCAAGTCTGATTTGAACGTAAATGAAGAATATAATTAATATCAGCAGTGTAAGAAGCAACAAAACAAGGTTCTAGGATAAGCTTTTTCTTCACTTAGCAACTTTTGGCTGTATCTCCATCCTTGTAATCAAGTGTTTCTTGTTACACAATTTATATATAGATGATAGGGTGAAGACTCATTAGAATGCTACTTGATAGATTCTTATTATGTTTTGTGCATCAAAATTAGGTTTTGTTTTTTCTTCAGCACAAACTGAATGGTAATAGGTGTCAAGAAAGAAAAGTCTGCTTTCATTGATGTAAATGTCTTAATCTAAAATGTGAACTGGGGTAGAGGGAATGGTTTTATGGTATTATCTTTTCTGGTTTCAGGGTTTGGAATCTTGTGTGAGATTTGTCTTGTGTTGGCATAGCATAATTCTGAAAGTTATTAAACGTTAACTTGTTTTATGATTAGAAGCGCAATTATTGTGATTACTGATTAGCAGCACAATATGATAATTGTGCCCTAAACTATGTTAAAACAGTTCTTTGTGTTTCTTAAGAACTCACAATCACAACTTGTTTGTTCATCATGAGCATTTTTTGGATGGAATAGCAAGGCTCGTAGGAAGATGTAGCTCTGTTGGTTCTTTTTGTTAGGTGAGTAATTGTGGTGCCATACAGGAGGGGTTTAATACAGGAGTGCACATCTGGATTCTTCTCCTAAGGCGCTGCTCCTGTACACAATTCTTCCTATTCTCGGTTAAGGTTTACTATCTTCTTTGCTTCTTTTCCGACTGCACTACTCTTTGCATTAGTTTCAACAAGGTCAAGTTGGTATTACCTATTGGAACTAGTGGACTATTATCAACTAAAATTTCAGCTGACATGCTCCAATGGGATTTGATGATCATATACTTCAAAATGTTTTGACAAAATTTCTCAGCTGTCTGCAGCAGTGCTTCAGCTAGATGCATTGAGGATACTGCCTTTGGATGTGTAAATCCAGCTGTTTATCTTGTATCATCATCATCAAATGTCCTAAGAGTCAGATATTTCCTCCTCATTAATATCTATTTTAATACCTAAATGTTGCTTAGTGTGCATGGTAGTGGATGAACTACTATGAAACATATCGTAGTAACTGTGAAACTTGATACAGATGACGTCATGGCTTCCTTTGACTTTGGTGAACATGGAGTTGGAATACAGAAGCTGATTTCATTAGCAGGTCCATGCTATGAGATTCCTGCTCTGCTTCCCTTTGCCTTGTCATGAACCGAACTTCCTTTTTTTTCTTTTTTGATTAAACATGTTCAATTAGCATTCTCTGTTATGTTAGATTTTTCTAGGCTTAAAACTTGCTGAACCTTTTGAGAAAATTTCCAAGGTGACTTTGGTAACTATCTTGAGTATAACTTTTTATTATCATGGTTGGATGTTTGCAGGCATTACTACATTTTATTTACTGGGATGACCTACCAGACATGGAAGAGCTTGTGGGTTCAACCTCTAAATGGGCTTCTACACTTGTGGCTCAGCATCTGCTGGCTGCTGCTGACCGTTATGCCATTGAGAGACTGAGATTGCTCTGCGAGGCTAAACTTTGTGAGAGTGTTACAATAAACACAGTTGCAACTACATTAGCCTTGGCAGAACAGCACCACTGTTTGCATTTGAAAGCCGTTTGTCTAAAATTCGTTGCATTGCCGGAAAATTTAAGAGGTAGGAACTATGAAAACCAACTCTATTTTAGATTCATTTATAATATCCTTGGAGTATGTCTCTCCAGAACCAGAATGCATAATGGTTTCACCTCATTATGGTGCATATGCTAATTTTACTCTTTAGCCTACTTTCCTAAGTACATTATTCACCAATATGTGGACCATCACATGGTTTTTTGGTGTCTAATAAAAAGCATCCGTATGGTCTACTTTTGAACTGTTAAACGTAAAATAGGTAAACATGGCTACTTAACTGCTGCAATTCTATTAATATGCAGAGTGAGATAGATGTTCTGAATTGCTTGAATCTTGAATTAATTGCCACTGATTGAATTTATCTCCTGGAAAAGAAACCCTTTTTTAATTTATTTTATCTTTTCCTGAGAGAGCATGGGGAATGAGAAAATTGTCGTTGTATTGTTTTCAGCTGTGATGCAAACAGATGGATTTGAGTATCTGAAGGAAAGCTGTCCAACTGTTCTTACTGAGCTGCTGCAGTATGTTGCAAGAATTGGGGAGCACTCTGTTATTGCGTGTGGATATCGAAAAGAAACTTCATTTGATGGTTGTGATGTTAATGGCCGACGAGTGAAACCAAGATTACATTGATTTAGGGAATCACATATAGATATCTTTTGGTCAGTAAGAAAACTAATAAAAGTGTGCTAAGATAGGTTTAGGCATTTTTGGGTTGTACTAGCATTTGGTCACTTCTATGAAAAATTTAAGTTTAATGGCCCATTTGGTTGTCATACAAAGTTTTTAAGTTTGTACAGGCCTAGATGCCACAATTCGCGTTTGTATGTAGATTCAGATCTTTGAGATTAGCATATTGAGCAAAATTGAAAAGATCAACCACGATCTGGAAACCATTTATCTTGGAGATCTCATTTCTACCATGGCCCTGGCACGTGAAATTAGAGGGGTCTGAGGCATCCAAGACAGTTAAACAAAACAATCTGATCGTGTTCAACTTTTACTTCTGGCTTTAGGAAAGAGCTAAGTCTTGCTAGCAGTTTCTCCTCCACTTTTTTCACGTAGCCTATTCCCTTCTTTCTTTTCCCTCTCACCAAATGCTGCGTTGAAGCCTCAAACTTTTTCTCATGTACGTTGAGCTACATTTCTTTGGCATATGGTACGTTAAGCCAAAATAACTCATTAATAACTTCTTTTGACAGAAGTACGCTTTTCTGTATTTGTTTGTCATACAAAGTGCATGACCATGGAAGTTTGTGACAATAACACAAGCAGCTAAGTGATGGCCTCTTAATTTCTAACACATCAGGTTGCAGGATTTCTCTTCTCTGAAACTACTAGTAACAGCGAAATAAGATTAGTAATACATACAGGAGCCTTACATGCTTCTGTTTCAAGACCAAAGTTTAGAGATCAATCAACTTATTTTCTTAATCAAAATGCATGTTCAAGTTAAAGATATAAATAACAGCCCTTCCTTCAGGTACAAAAAGGTGAGTAAAAGGATACAAGAAGGAAATCATCATAGAGTTGCAGCCCTAGTTGGGGGGAAAGGGGTGTTACCTTAACTTAATAAAGAATGAGAACGTAAGTAGAACAAACTTCACTATCCTTTTCCGGGATTCTCTGACTTCACGTATCTTATAGCTTGTCATTGATCTGGACCACAAAACCATGAGGTGAACGATAGTAGGCACCATTTAATCTATTCTTTCAAATTAGTGGTATAAATTACAACTCATAGATAAACTTGTAGTTTGTCTGGTCTTCTTTAACCAGCCCTGCTGGAGCACGGATAATATAGCTTCACCCATGACTCCTAGCGGTGGGAAGACCAATTCAAGATTAAACTCTCACCGCCATTAAGTTAGCCATTGGCAGTTGATATTAGGTCAATACCACTGACTTCCGGATCCACCTTGAGCAGCAGCAACTTTCCTAGCCATGTACTGGGGCTTTGGCTGCAACCCATTTGAGCCTTCAACTACTTCATCTTCTCCCCTATCATTTTTACACACTGGATTTCTTCGGGGATATGAACAGTTTGTGGCAGTGTATTGAGTTGGAACTGTTGGATTTCGGACCATTCTTCGCTGTTCAAGAGTCTCAGCCACTGCTGCTGCCCCACAATTGTTGTAACGCAATACTGATCCAACTACTTTCCCAGGTCTGGCAGCTCCTGCTGCATTCATTATGATCAGTTGTTAGCGTACAATAGTACAACTAGGAGCATATGCAGTTATTGAGAGATGGTCCAGTAGCGAGATGAGCAATTAATATATTACAAACATAAAAGTCCATGGCAGCTGCTCCTGTAGGATATTACTTTCTTCCTGTCATTTTAAGCATGTACTTGTACTTGCATAATAAACAGTTAAATATGACATGCTCATAACTCCTGGTTTTGTGGATCTCAAAGAAATAAACCACCCTCTCACTTGCCAGACAAATAAATTACACTTGTAACATCAAATTCTAAACGCGTTATGGTTTTGACCACACTACACACACACGTTGAAAATCAATTAATTCATTCCTATTATTTTGCTAAGTTGCATTGAAAAGTTAATCCAGTAAGTATATCTATCCAGAGATTTAGATCAAATAAAGATAAGATGGCCCCTAAATGAGAAGCAAGATGGTGCTTGTAATCATTTACCAATATCAGTGAGACACAAGCATAGCAATAAATATTGAGGAGGGGGGGATATAAACTTAGAGAAAAAGACATATAAACAGCCTGCTGAAAATGATTTGGGGAATGATAACACCAATCTGTATCCGTTTGAGAAAAACATTCATACCTTGAATGCTTTGAGGAACTTGAAGAGGAAGCCTTGACATGGGGATCCCACAGCTCCTCTCTGTATGGGGTTTCTCAGTCTCCTTGATAGAACATTTAGTTAAGTTATCCGTTACATCTGTTGAATTTTGTACGGAATTATCCGAATATAATACACAAGGCCTGCATGCACATGTTTTCATCAGGGTACTAGTCAGTAAAAATATAGACAAGATGGCATAATGGTGAAAGTGTATAATTTCGATACATGGGAGACAACCCAGGGCTTGGCAAGCAGCATGCCAAATAAATGTTGATAATAAAAGTACCTTGGCAAAGATGCATGCTGTCTCTCAAGAGGAGCTGCAGTTGTACCATTTCCATAATGCTCCTCGAGGAAAGCAAACTGCTTCTTGAAATGGTCAACAGCACTGCATTAAGAAATACACATGAATAACAGCCTCTAAGCTAGGAGATTTCAGACAGGCAACTCAAACAGAATAAGAGATCTGAGAAATCTTGAGGCAACATTTTGGAACTAGGTTCATTAAATCAACACAGCACAAAGTCTCTGAATTCATTTAACTCTGATTTCTAGCATTCAAACAGCCAAATTTACAGCAATATTTACATAAGTAGTTATTGCAAAGGCACGAAGTCTATTGATTCCATGACATGGATGGCATACTTACAGCTTCATCCAAATGAGTGGAATCAACTACCATTAATGGAGGTTTTGTATTCATTTGGCACATATAATGCTTAGAGTAAAATTTGGAAGAAAATCAACAAACTATAGATGAGCACCTAAAGCCCCCCACAGAAGTCCACTGATTACAGATTTAAATAGCACACACTGACAGCTTCAACGGAATGAATTGAATCAGCAACCAGTAATGAATGTTTCGTATTCATTTCCATACATATAATGGCTAAAGTCACTTTTGAAGACAATTAATATACATAGAAAAAAAAACCTCTCAACACTAAAGGACACAGGAAAGACGACATTCATAGTAGAACAAATAACAAAAGGCTGGTTGGAAAAAATATCAAGGATGGAACTCAAAATAGAATTATGGTTACATATAATGACATATAGTTAAGATGCCAGAAAACTAATTTAAAACAATACCTTGGATACATGAAGCCAGTTGGCTCTGATCCTTCCAAATACTCTTTCAACATTTTAGGATGATACTCAAGAATTTCACGGTATATGAGCTCCCTTACATCCTCCTTCGTAATCCTACGTCTCTCAAACTCAAATTCCATCTTGGTAACTGGTTGAGCAGAAGGCTCTCTTTCAACTTTGGCCAAGCCCTTAAAATATGGATCAGCAAGGGCCTGACAGCGAACAACATCATATCCATGTTAGAAGGAGACTATGCATTGTAAAAAAGCAGATGAAAAGTCACAAACATACCTCTTCAGCAGTAGGTCGATCCTTGGGTTCAAACGCAAGCATTCTTTCTAACAAACGAAGTGCAAGAGGATCTGCATTAGGGAACTTATGAGAGAATGGAATGGGCTTTTTCTTTCTCATGCTGCTCAAGTATCTCCGAGCTTTCTCATTGCGTACCTGCTCATATGATATCCACATTTTAGCAAAGAACAACTGATTCTCAATGGCTGACTTAAAATAAACACTATAAACAAATCCAAATGGAGGCAACAAGTTCATAACAGCAAACATACCCTAGCAATGGCTTCAGCAGAGGGTGTTCCCAAAAGATCAGTCATCAGATCCAATTGATGGACAACATTTTTTCCAGGAAAAAGAGGTTTCCCAGTTAAAAGTTCTGCAAAGATGCACCCAATGCTCCATATATCTATTGCTGGGGTATACTGAGTATAGAAAGAACAGTAAAATTAAAAATGAATATAAGCATACAAGTTTATGGACACCTTTAAACAGAGTAAGATGCTGTTTACTGGTACCAGATACTTGAAATGTGCAACTAGAGAAATAAAATAAGAGGAAAAAATTCGTACAGTTGGAGCATCAGCTGCAGGCCAACTACTGCTTATTGCATAAAAAATTTTAAAACCATGTCTTCAGCAAAGTGAGTAGTCAGACTGCCAAATTGTGCTTTCATGGAAAACAGACAGACACACACAAACACACTCTTATGTATTCACTGGAAAGTAATTACTATAGCAAGGACTACATTTTGTGTCTATGGCTGAAGTTCCTTTACAAAATCAACAGAATATGGTGAGACATGCACATCTTAAAGATATCCAAAAGTGCTTTCCTGCCAGGCTGCATGAGCTATTGATCTGAGAACTGCTAATCTTACAAACAAAAGGTGCCAAAAACCTATCTCAATGTGGCAACAATACTTAGAGAGGAGGGAAGTGAACTCCCACTTAACAAATTGAAAAAAAAAAAAATCTCACATCAAACAACCAGAAAAAGAATCATGATAAAAGAGAAAAGAGTAAGCTACTTTCAATCAAATAAAATGCATTAATCATTTTTGCACCTTTGAAAAAAAGGATCCACACAATTCAGGAGCCCTGTACCATCTTGTTGCAACATAGTCCTGAGAAAGGAAGCAGCGAAAAATATTCAATTATGAACCAAGAAACAACTTCTGCAAATTATATATAAATTATTTCCTGACTGAAGCATCATGTAGAGCAAACTTACTGTCCAGAATATGGCAGTGGGCGTATCATTAAAAGCTACTCTAGCAAGACCAAAGTCACAGATCTTCAGTTTGCAATCAGCATTGGCTAAGATATTTTTGGGCTTCAGATCCCGGTGAAAAACATTTGCTAACAAATGTAAAAAACAAAAAAGAACCATCAGAAATGGAACAATCAACAAGAACTTGAAATTGCATCAATCCGAATAACTTTCAAAATGTTATCTATGTTCAAACAAGTGGATTAAGTCACATTCTATAGTCGACACTATTACAAGAGAATAACCTGTGTGAATGTATTTGAGGCCTCGAAGAAGCTGATAAAGAAAAAACTGGTAGTGTTCTGGGGTCAAATCATCATTTGCTTTGATAACCTGGTGTAAATCAGATTCCATAAGTTCAAATACTACATATATATCTTTAAATTCCCTTCTCGAAGGAGGTAACAAGATGTGCTTGATCTCAACAATGTCTGGATGACGTAGGAGCCTGAGAAGTTTAATCTCTCGGAGGATCCGGGTGGCATCAGATACATGTTCAAAGATATCATTGATTTTCTTAATTGCAACCTTTTCTCCAGTATGTGTGTCATATGCAGAACAAACAACACCATAGCTTCCTTTACCAATTACTTCCTCTATTCTGTACCTGCTCCCCTCACCATATTCGGTGAAAAAATCTACATCCACAGCTGACTGCATTGCAAAGGTAAAGCACACTGTATTGTCAACATTACAACCAAGGTTTACATCTTATAAATAACAGGTTTCACATAAAATACAAAAAATGAAGGTTCAACAGTGTGTACGCCAACCCAGCGGGACTACAACAGATAAACATGACTGCTAACTTATAAGAGTATAATTAATAATTCCACACACCTAGACATTTGGAAATCACTTAACGCCATATGATACTCAATTTGGAGCACAAAAACACTAAGTGTCATCTCTCTTAAAACATGCATAACTTTATCCCAAGTGGATCAGAAAAAGTATGTTGCAATTACTTCCTCTATGCCATATACCAAACACAATGAATAAATCAAAAGTCCAAAACGAAAAAAAAGGAGTATTAATGTCAGAAGATTTCCCTAGATAAAGTAAAATTGACACATTCAGGCAGAGAGCAGAAGAAATTAATGCAAAAACAATAGAACTGAATCCAGCACAATAAGGACATGATGGTTTATAGCAAGGTACATAAAAATTATTCACTTGCAAGAAATTTTGTTTCTACACCAAGGAAACTTCAAGAACTTAGATAACCAGAAGCAAATACATATATAAATAAAATGAAACTATAATATATAACTAGTGGTAGTCAACCTGCAGAGCACTAAACTAAGTAACCTACCACCATAAGTGGTGCCTCCAACATCAACAACAATAACAGTACTTCTAAGCTACCTATAACATCCAAAATAAAACAGAGAGACAAGCGAGCATCAGTTTACAAAACGGCATTGTTCTAGTGGGACATCCCATAAACTAGCAAACTTGGGACAGAAACATGTGGCTTAGAAGATGAAACAAGAAACATGACAAGCTGTTCTTTCCCATCCAAATAAAGAGCCACGCCGACAATGGAAACAACAATCAACACAGCTTAATGTAGAGAAACTATGAGGATCATAACAGATTTATTAAATAATTATCCAGCAAGCCAGATATACTTGATTCCAATTAACATAAAACAGGATACTATTCAAAATCAAAATCATATCTCACTTGTTTAGATCTTATATACACTTATATTCATACAAGTAAATATAAAAACTAAAAAAGTTACCTTTCTTCTCTGATCAGGCTGCATCTTAGCATAAAAACCTTGGAAAGAAAACAATTGGCAAGAGCATCTAACAGGAAGCGACGAAAGTAAAAGGAGAAACCAATTTGACTTTGCACTTAAAAGCCAAATAAAAAGATCACAGAAAAAAAAAATTCAGTAATGCCAAGACCAAATTTCCACAAAAATAGAACTACCAAGACTACAAAACTGTTCAAAAAAGGAAAAACTTTCACCAAAATATCAAGATCAACAACCAAAACAGCCTTATTAGAAATCCCAAAGAAAATGGTTTGAAATCAAAAGTTTAAGTTCAAAAGCAAAAGCCAATGCTAGTTAGTCAAGTTTTGAGGCGAAAATTAACAACTTTTTTATAATAACAGAGAAAAAAGAAATTGAAAAACAGAAATTTTGATTCTTTTTCAAAAGCAATAAATACAATAAGACCAAAGATTTTGGCGGATGAGCCAAAAAAAATTGAGCTGGAAAATGAGTCTCTTGGAGAATCTAAATAAGGCGATTAACACTATAAAAACAGGGAAAAATTAACTTATTATGCTTATAGAAGGTAGATAAAGATTGGGTTTTTCTTGTTTATCTTGTAGAGTGGAATAAAAAGACTTCTTGGGTTTGTGGAATGCTTTTGGATCTTCAAGTGAAAGCAGAAAAAAAAGTAAGGAAGAGCAAATGGAAATCAAAGAGCGGTGTGCTTCAAGTTTGAGGCTTTTTGTGTGTAAGAAAGAGAAGGGCCCAAATGGAATTATTTAATTCCAAAATTAATAATTAAAGCAATTTAAAGTGGGATTGAAAAGAATAACATAATCATTTTTATATTGAAATGACATTTTTGCCACTCAACTTGGGTCATATTTTCCATATGTTGTTGGGTTAATAATTAATGTTCTTTTTCTGTAATTAGTATGTTACACTTTAGTGAATTTTGACCGGTTTTTTGCTTAATCATCTCACCCAAAAGGATTAAGTAATTTGTTAAATAGTTAACAGTTTGATTAGTTTTGGGGGGGGTGGCTGGGGGGGCGGGTGGTTGAGGTTTGTAGTGATAAAGCTGAAAAATAGTTCAATGGGGCATATATTAGGTATGGGCAATCTAGCATTAACTAAATTCCCATACTTTAAGTAACTAAAAATTGATTAGTAAAAGTCCAAAAACATTACCCTTTTTCACCCTAATTTTGATTGATTGAATAGGGAAACCAACTTAGGAGGACTTCAAATTTGGGGTTTATACCATTAAAAGAAAATTCAGCTCTAACATACTCTCTTTTCTTCTTTAATTACTTCATAATTTGTTGTTTATTTAACTTTATCAATGATAAAATAAATTATTTAAATATTTTTGATAAATTGAAAAAATTAAATATTAAATTTTAATTTTAGAAAAATTAATTATTCCTATAAAGCGCGTCCGGTATTTTATTGAAAATTAAATACTAAATAAAGTTTTTCTTTGGAATTTTTTTAAGTCTTTTGCAGAATAATGTTAAAACAAAAGAATATAAAGTTGATGTAATTAAATGATAAAATTTTCTAAAATTATACTAAAGTAGCTTTTAATTGTTTATCAAGCACACTCTTAGTAAGTAAGTTAAAAACCAATAAACCATGAGATGATATAAGGAGAATTAAAACAAGTTTTGCTTATTGGACTGATATTGTCTTTGTATTTTTATTGTCATTGTGATTACTGATTTCCATGCCAAAATCCATGAGTTAGTAGCACAATTAATACACCTTTTTCCTTATTGGATTGCTACTGTAATCGCCATGCTAAGCCTAGTCTCTAAGTTAGACCACGTGCTATGTTTTGCCCACCCAATTGAATGACATGATGCCTACAGCTCAATGCCTCTCATGATCCCAACAAAATTTATTTCATTGGTCCGAGGAAATTAACCCAATTCTTTACATTTCTTTTTATTATTTGATTTTCTTTCATACGATGTGAAGGAGACAGCTCTCTTTCATATTATGAATTTTATTTAATTTTAATAAGATACAATTGTTGAAAAAAAATCGAATTTAATTATTTACAATAGTCCAAAATTTTAACAGATTGTGAACCATTGATACTGCTTAAGCTTATAAATTAATTTCAGGAATCACATTACAATTAGAATAAGGATCATTAGCATGACAAATGCAAAGAGATGAATTTCTATAATCTTAAACACAATGTACCATGAACAAGAAAGGCAACATCCAAAATTCAATGGGATTCCATGGTTGCATGTGCATCACATGGGGCTTTTGAATGAGTGGAATCTTTTGATTCAAATTGTGATGTTACTATAGGTAGCCCAATATATTGTCCCCAAGTTAATATTACGTGGCATGATACAATGATTGTCCTATGTTCTAATGTCATAAAGCCTGCCATTAATGAATTAGCCTAAAGTCACCTTTTTCAATCTCTTTACACTGCCTTCATCCCCATATCCATTTCTATTAGAGATATTAGTTATATAAAGTCAATTAATTTTGTAAAATATTAAGGTTTAATTTTGGTAGAGCATGAACAAACTAACAGCCTAGTAACTTCAAAGAGGAGGGCAAGTTATCTTATTCTATGATTTATATGTCATGAGTTACAACTTTGGTACATGCTTTAGAAAGGTCTATGAATATTTGAGCACCATGCATAAATAAATGATAAACATATATATATTTTGTAATACAAGACATACCATATAATAAAACATATTTAATTAATGTATATTGGTGAACTGTGATGTTAGCTGGCAATTTTCTTTACAGCCAAACACATGGTGCTCAATAAATAATTGTTAGAAACAAATATATAATAAATAATAACAAATTTTTATTTATTTTTAAATCGAACTCAACATGCACAAATGTAATAATAATCTTTGTTGAGGGTCTCGTTTGTTTCTATTTCCTAGTAAATTTTTTTCAGATAAAATATTAAAATTAAGCTATGCCTTTATTTTAAAGGGTTTTTGAAACATTTGTTTTTAGTTTGTTCATTATTGAAGAAATAGCATGTGATTTGTTATAAGCATATAAGATTTATACATGGATCATATATCAAATATAAATATTTTATTTTATTTTATGAAATTTACATTTAAAAATAAATTTATGATATTTCAAAGTGGTATAGTTTATCAATATTGGGTAAGTATATAACCTTGCTTTTTAAAAACATTTTTTATTATGAAATAATAAATGTATAACCTTGATTTGTAACAACAAAAAAAGAGTACAAATATTTAAAAAAAAGAATAATGTTTGATAAAATGGCATTAGTTGTAATTATTTTTTAGAACAAGGGCAAGAGAAAGCAAAAAGTAGAAAAATGCAAAATGATTTAGAAATAGATAAAAACCACTTAGCAACAAAAAGAAAAAGAAAAAGGCAAATATATAGAACCACAGACTTAAAA